CCGGGCCCCCCCCCCCCCCCGACCCCCCCCCCCAGCCATGGGCCCCCCCCCACAATCCCTCCTGCCTTCTCTCCTTCCTGCCCCACCCAGTCCCCCAGCTGTGCACTCCATACCCACCCCCTTCTCGTCCTAGCCACAGCCATCTGGCTCTGCACTCTGCCAGCCTGTCACAATCCCCCAGCTCCACCACGCTACGCCTGCCCTACATCCCCCCAACCTTGCTCTGCTTACCCCCATCACCCATCCTCTCACGTTGCTTATTGTCATGTGCAATTGGAGAGCCACCTCCCTGGCCCCTTGGTGTATGTGCCGCATCTACGTGTACTGCAGTTTCTGCAGTGAACACAACACGCTGCCTTCAGTACGCTAGTGGGACTGAGTCACTGTCTCTGGGGGGAAAGTGGGGGTCTAGTGGTTAGAGCAGGGGGCTGGGAGCCAGGATTCCTGGGTTCTCGGGTCTGTTACCACAGTCTTTCTCCTGCACATGCATCTGCCCCAGTCAGTGGATTCCCAACTAGGGGGGCAGGTGTTATTTCATCCCCTAGGCCTGACTCCCTGCCCCATCTTCATCTCCCTGCAGCTGGATGAAAACGTGCAGGTCCTGCTGAGAGGCTATGATGGGGACTGTGAGCCCCCACCCCCTGGAACCCCTGCTCCCCCAACTGCAGAGGAGCCCAGGTCAGAGTCAATGGGACCAGACCCTGAGAGCACAGTCAGCCCTAGTACCGAGGGCCCAGATAGGACAGGTGAGCATGAGAACGGTACCGGGCTACAGGGGGCGCTGCGCTGGAGCGGGACGTTTGGGGAGGGGGTCCGTGGTTAGAGCGGTGCCTTCTTGCCAGTCAGGGCCTCGGCAGGGTCGGGGGGCTGTCCCCTCGCAGTCTTTATTGATTTCAGTGTAGTGATTAAATTCTTCTCTGTCCGACTACCTCCCCTCCTGCAGAAACAGCCCCATCTGTTGCAGCCCCATCCACGCCCTGGAAGGCTGGGGGGTCGTTGCTGAATGAGCCAGCCCTGTCCTTCCTGGCCACACTGGCCAGCAGCAGCAGCGAGGAGATCGAGCTGCAGCTGCAAGAGCGCATGGAGTTCTCCAAGGCCGCTGTGTCCCGGGTGGTCGAAGTCTCCAACAAGATCCACCGGCGCACAGAGGAGCTGTGCCAGAAGATCCACACCCGTGGTGAGCCCCGTGCCTGGGTCCCCCCCGGGAAGAGGGTGGGGGTCAAGCAGGTTAGAGTTGGGGCACTGGGAGCCAGGACGCCTGGGTCCTCAGGGCTGTGACTCCTCCTCAGATGACTTGGACCAACTGGATGAGGCACTGAAGTCCTTAAACAAAGAGCTGATGAGAGAGAATCAGCGGCTGCAGGACTTAGCTATGCAGCTGCAGGAGAAACACCACAAGATCTCGCTAGAGGTAGGAGCCGGCTCCCCAAGCAGGGGGGCTGGCTGGGTTGGGGGTGGGGAATGGGATACTGGGCCTTTCGGGGGCTAGCTGGTTTGGTGCGGCCCCAGCCCCACTCACCTTGCTCTCTTCCCGGTGCAGTACACGGAGCTGCAGGACAAGGTGACATCGTCGGAGACCAAGGTGCTGGAGATGGAGACGACGGTGGAGGATCTGCAGTGGGACATTGAGAAGCTGCGCAAGCGCGAGCAGAAGCTCAACAAACATCTCGCTGAGGCGCTAGAGCAGGTGACCTGCCCCCATGCCCCAGGCTTCCCTCTTCTCACCCTCCCCCACAATCCACTTCCCTTGTCTCACTGCTCCCATCTGGCCCCCAGCAGCTGCAGCCGTAGCTTCTCTCCCCCCTCACCCCCAATGCCGGGGCTCCCCCGCCACATGTCCATTCCCCAAGCACTGGGGGGGCCTGATCGGTGAGGGGGGCTGCTGACTCTTTTCTTTCTGATCTTTTGCAGCTGAACTCTGGTTACTACGTGTCAGGCAGCTCCGGGGGCTTCCAGGGTGGCCAGATCACCCTCAGTATGCAGAAGGTGAGGGGCAGGGCGGGAGGGGTGGGAGTGTCTGGCATTCACGCAGGTGGAATTGAGGGTCCCCGTGGGTGGGGATTCAGTGCAGAGAGAGGTGGGGGTCTGTGGCACTGGGATTGGTGCCTTGCTGCAGGGAAGGTGGGGGGGGGGGGGGGGTTGGAGGGGTGGG